GGCTCATTCTGTGCGTCTTTCTCTGCAGGTGGGATCGGCTGCGTAGGTCGAGACAAGGGCCAGGTTCGCAAGTGCCTGGACGTGGTGGAGATCTACAACCCCGACGGGGACTTCTGGAGAGAGGGCCCGCCTATGCCAAGCCCCCTGCTCTCACTTCGAACCAATTCTACCAGTGCCGGCGCCGTGGACGGGAAGCTGTACGTGTGTGGGGGATTCCACGGAGCAGGTACAGGCAGAGGATTCGTGTTCTGTGACCTCCTTTAACTGACCCGCTCACCAATGGCCCTGAGAGCAGGGTGAGCCTGGCGGAGGCCAGGCTTTCAGAGCTCAGTGACCTTGAGCAACTCACCGACCCCTGCCCTTGGGTCTTCACAGCTCCAAAGGGGTTGTAAGGCTCCTGTGAGATCTAGCGTTACTGGGTTTGGCACGTAGCAGACGCTCAATAAACATCAGCTCCACACGGTGCGAGGGGAGATGGGGCGGGAAGGCCGGTGTCAGCCAGCGGACTGAAGGAGAGATGTGAGCACATGAAGAGCAGGCGGGCGCAGGGGGATAGCCAGAAGCGGAGGGCCTTGTCTCTGCCTTTACCGGTCCTCCTGGAAATCCTGCCCTCGGGAAACTCTTACTCATCCTCCACCACTGCCACTGGAAATCAGTCGCTGGAAAGCATTTCTAAAATAATGCCTAATCCATATATTTATTGCCAAACTAAGTTCCCCTATATCCAAGCATTGCCATCACTGCAATCTACAGCCTGGATTTACAATGTTTTAATGTAACAGGGAGGTTTTAAAATATGCACAAACCTAGTAAGCAACTGTCTCCACAGTCAGATTAGTTGCGCCAGTAGATAAGGCAGAATGCAGCTGATTAGCAATGACCACCTGCTCAGCTCTAAGTGCACTAACAGAAGCACGGGGCCAGCACGTGTCCGTGAAAGACACACACCGAGGGCACGGAACGTTTTGGAAGTGTGCCAGATTAAAATGGCGCCGCCGCCGCCGCCGCAGAGCCAAGCCCGCGACAAGCCTGCCTTCGTTTTTACAGCACACAATTACATGTAAGTTAAAGAACAAAGTCCTCATTACGCCTTAAAAGAGACTCAGGGGACACACGAGCCCAGCAGCATCAGCGGGCCTCACCTGGCTGTCGATTCAAACGAGCCCTCTGTAGAAAGGGGTTTTCAGACAGCCCGGGAAACCTGCATTAGGCCTGGAGCATCAGGTGACGTAAAGGGGCTGTTCATTTTGCTAGGTCACAATGACAGCGCCACTTGTTTTACATAAAAGGGAGAGAAAAGATAAAACATGTTGACCATTAGAGACTGTTTAGAGATGACAACAACAAGCTGTCTGAAATTGTTTTAATCTACTCCAGCAAATATTTTTTAAAACACGAGTGGGCAAGGATGGTTTCACAACATCGGTAAGACGCTGCTCATCATTGCAGCCGGACAGCGGGGTGCGTGGGGCCTTCGTTGACCACTGCTGTTATATGCCCAGTCCCCATAGCAAAAAGCTTTACTTTTTCCTTCTTTGTCCTTCAAAGAATTTTCCAAATGGTTTTTGATGGTGTTAACATCTTTTATGTGAAACATCGCGTGCTGTGTAAAGGCAGTAACCTATCTAACCCGCCGCCCGCTGCTGGAGCCCTGTGTGTGAGGAGGGCTGGGCAGGCAGGAGGGAGAGCCCGGGCTGGACCCGCTCGCCCAGCAGGCGCCCCTCCAGCGGGGTCTCCGCCCTCCTCTCCATCCTCTGGCTCCTGGCTTTCTCTTGACCAGAAGAGAAGTGTGGAGAGTACAGAGGTGGCCTCAGGACCTCCGAGCAGTGGGTGGTGGTTAGTGTCTAAGGATCCAGAAGACATCCTTCTCGCCTTGTTTCTTTATCCTCCCTTCCTTTGTGATGCTGAGTTAGACAACTGGCGTCCCCCATTTCTCAAGCACGTCTGAACTCAAGCTGTGAGCAGCCTCTTCTCCCGGTGCTGTGACGGGCTGACAGTGCTTTCAGCCAGAGGGACGCTGGGTCACCTGGAAGCCCACCTTAATTACCTGCTTGTAAGACGGCAGACTGTCTGGGATTGGCTGAGTGAGTGGTCACCGGGGTTTCATGAATAGCAGAACAGCTGTGTAACAGCACACCCACGAGGAACCAGAGATCTCAGCGTCAGGCCCGACATCAGGCACCGAGCTTCCCCCGCCGTGTGGCACAAACCTGCAAGTCCCACTTGTTTATTCAGAAAACCACAGCCAGGAAATTCATCTCTTTGAATGCATTTGGTTAATTCAGTAAAAATGTGTTGAAACATACTGTTTACAGGAGCTTGGGATACAGTCTTGAGATGTTCAACATCTGCTAGGAAAGACAGATACAAAAACATGTAACAAAAACAGTCACTTGACTTCGGTTAGAATAGTAGGTGGAAGAGCCCTGTCCTCTCCGCGCGCCCCACTACAGTGACGGGAAGCGGGACAAACGCCGCCAGACAGGGAGAAGAGGAGGACGCTGGGAGCAGGAGAGCGGGCGGCGGAGCGACTGCCCGGGCCGGCCTGCGCAGCCCTGGCCCGGCAGCGGGACGGGGAAAGGCGACCACGGAGCCCGGGCGGTCCCGGGAGTGGACCACGGCTGGCCTGGGGGAGGGGCGGAGGCGACACTGGGAACGCGGGGACAGCCAAGCGACCCCGATCTCCTGCCCCTCCCTCCTGCACCCCAGGGAGAGCCAGCTGGAGGGCGGGGTGAGGTCCGGGTCCAGCAATGAAAACGGGAGCTTAAGAGGAAGGTTGCACGTTGACTGTTGAGATGACTGGCTTTCTTTCTGCCTGGGCCCAGGCGCGGTTCACCACACCCTCCACGCACCAGACGGGCAGGCTCTTCTTGGGGATCTGACCAGCCCCAAAATAGGCAAAGCCGATCTCCCTGGGGAGAAGCTCACAGGCAGAGCACCCACGGCAACGGTCGAGGCTCCCCAGGCCTTGGAGGTAGCGTGTGAAAGAGAAGAAAACAGTAAAGGCAGGCCGGCACCTGGAGGAACGGAGGCTGTGCCAGAGTGTCCTCGGTGAGCAGGGGAAGGTGCGCATCTCAGCATGGGACAAGGATACTCTAAAGGGTTCTCGGAAGTTAAAGATATGAGAGCAGAAATTAAACGTACAGTAGAAAATCTGGAGCATAGAGTGGAAGAAACTCAGAAAGCAGAGCAAAAACAGTTGGCGGAAAATGAGAGAAGAGACTCAAGAGTTCCTGCAGAAAGACAGAGGAAAGGGCAGGGGGACGAAGCGCCCATGAGGTGAACGGAGAGACGCCCCCAGAACTGGAGCCCCAGCTGAAAGGACGCAGCGCGTGCCCAGCACGGTGGGTGACGCCAGTGCCCGTGTCACAGCCCACGGGACGGAGCAGAGATCCCTGAGCGCCCAGAGAGGGGAGCCGTCCCTGGGAAGCGTCAGCAGTCGGAGCAGAACCCCACCTCTGGCGCATGACACTGGGAGCCTGGAGAACCAAACTCCTCGGGAAAGTCATTTTCTGCGTAAACTTCTGTACCTGCTGCGCTTCCAGCTGAGACGACAGCAACCTTCAGACGCACGGCTTCTCACAGAACGGCGCTCCTGTGTCCCCTCTGACTGGGTTTTGCTTCACCAAAGATGAACATCTGGCGCAAGTGAGAGTAGACGGGGGATCCAGGAGCAGGATTAGACGCAGGGCAGGAACGAAACCCCCAGAAGGACAGTGAGGGGAGACCCCAGGACGACAGGAGGGAGCTGGTTGAAGGGTGTGGGGGAGAGGACTTCCCGAGGAGAAACCTGATCAAGTCTGAACGTCTTCAGAGATGTAGACGCTTACACACTGGAGAAGAGCAATGGAAACTAACGGAAACAAAGCAGCTTGAGAGGAAACAAGCAGCCGTGCGGGAAGGGACCGTGCGCCGCACCGTCCTCCGTGAGCAGCGTTTGTGACGATCGCGTCTGATCGTGTGAGTGTGGAACACGGGGCCTGAACCGCACGGGAATGGGGCGGACACGCTGGGCACGTGGGAGAAAGCTACAGCCACGCTTTCCACGGTGGAGGTCACGACTCAGTGCCTTCCTCTGAGAAATCAAGAGGTGGCCGGAGCAGGAGAAGTGCTGTTTATAGAGACTAGCGCTCAGAGCCAGCAGAATCGGCCAGAGGTGCGAGGGCAGCAGCCAACGAGCGGGGAGTCAGGTAGGAGGCGGTGCTTCTAAGGAATAAGCCTGGTAGAGCCGGTTGACGCTTTAGGTCACGTGCTTGTGTAACTGATGAAACACGAGCAACCGAAAGCACGTGAACCGGGGATGTGTAACAGGCACGGCAAGGCGGCGGCGAGGGGACATCAGCAGGCCGCTCAGCCGTGGGGAGAGACTTCTCCGCGGGTCCCGTGCCTTTCTGCTCGTCTTGTGAGCAGAGACACCGAGGTCTTTGTTCTGGACTCTCTCTGTAAGCACGTCTGTGCAGCAGGCAGCCCCGGGAGGTAACACAGAGTCTCCCTCCGAGGCCGGGCAGGAAAGCCTCGGGTTCCCCAGGCTCTCGGTTCCTCCCTTGTGATGCAGCCCGCTGGTGGGACAGGGCAGGGCTCACCTGGCCCCCTGCGTGTCGCCCCGTGGGCCCTGGCCCTCAACAGTCTTCAAAGTGCCCGTCACTGGCTGCTTCTGCTGCTGTGAGTGACGCTGCCCTTTGTCTGAGACCCGGGAGTTTCGTGTTGTCCACCAGTGTCTGCGAAACTGCAGCGAGCTCACCTGTGAGGCCTCAGGCTCTTCCCAGTTCTTGACAGAGTCCTGGGACTCACCGCGGAAAACACAGAATCAGCACCTCCACTCTCCTCCTCCCACACAGAGGGAGGGGGCCAACTCGAAGTCTCAAGAAGGTCCAAGCTCGTAGCACCAACGCTTCACAAACTTACCAAATACAGAAGAGGAGGAAACACTTCCCAACTCATTCCATGAGGCCGGTATCTCCCTGATACCAAAACTGGACAAAGACATCGCAAGAGAACTACAGGCCAACATCCTTTATGAATGTGGATGCAAAAATTCCCAGTAAAATGCTAGCAAACTGAGTCTAGCAACATACAAAAAGAACCATGCACTCTAACCAAGCAGGATTCATCCCAGGAGTACAAAGTGGGTTCACCGTACAAACGTTAACCAGTACAATACACCACACTCGTAGAACAAAGGACAAAACAGCAGATCAACTCGGTACACGCAGAAAAAGGATGCGATGAAATCCAACAACCTTCCATGACATAAACACCCAAAAAGCTGCGGACAGAAGGGAACTTACCGACCCTGATACGGGGCATCTGTGGAAGCCCACAGCTGACAGCACCCTTCGTGGTGGAAGGCTGAGCGCTTCCCCCAAGATCAGGAACAAGACGAGGGTGCCCACTCTCTCCATTGCTGCTCAGCAGTGGACTGGAGGGTCTGCCCAGGGCAGCCCGGAAAGAAAAAGAAAGAAAAGGCATCCAGCTGGAAAGGAAGAAGTAACTGCGTATGACACGATCTTTTATTTGGAACATCCTAAGGAACCCACCGAAAAAGCTACTAGGGCAAATAGATGAGTTCAGCAAAGCTGCAGGACACAGGGTCAATGTGCAAAAATCAACTGCGCTTCTATGCACTCGCAATGAATAAGCCAAAAATAAGGTTAAGGAAATAATTCCAATTATAGTCGTATCAAAAATAATGAAACACTTAGGAATAAATTTGATCAAAAAAGTGCAGGAGATGTACAATGACTATTGCACATCATTAAGGAAGTTGAAAACCTAAATAAATGGTAAAACATTGCACACAAAAATTGACAAGCCGATCCTAAAATCTGTATGCAAACGCAGGAGACCCCAAATACCCAAAAGAATCTTGTTAAAGAACAAAGTTAGGCGACTCGCACGTCCTAATTTCAAAACTTGCTTCACAGCTGTGATAAGCAGGACTGTGCGGCAGGGGCACGGGATCAGACACGGGCACCGGTGGAACGGACTTGAGAGGCCAGAAATAATCCCTCATTTGTGGGGTCAATTGATTTTCAACAAGAGTACCAACACAGTTCAGTGGGAAAGGATCCCTTTTTCAACAAGTGGTGCAGGAATAATTGGATATCCACATGCAAATGAAGTTTGGACCCCACAGATGTACAAAAATGAACTCAAAATGGATTATTAAAAAAACTCTAAACACAAGAGCTAAAACTATAAAACTTTTAGAAGAAAACATAGGCATAAACCTCTGTGATCCTGAATTAGGTAATGACTTCTTAAACTTGAAGCATAAACAAATAAGAGAAAATAAATTGAACATCGCATTTTAACTTTTGTGCTTCAAAGGGCACCATCAAAAAGTGCAAATGCAACCCACAGGGTGGGAGAAAATATTTGCAAATCACGTATCGAGTAAGAAACCTGTATCTAGAAGGTATTAAGAACTCTCACATCTTGATAATAAAGACAACCCATTAAAAAAAACTGACAAAGGACCCGAATAGGTCTTTCTCCAATGAATGTAAACAAATGGCCAGGTGCTCACATCATCAGGCATGAGGGAAACGCAGATCAGAACCGAAGGGAGACAGCACTTCACACCCAGCAGGACGACCGTCATACAGAGAAACAGGCGAAGGCAGTGCTGACAAGCTGCAGGCTGGTGGGGATGTGAAATGGCGCAGCTGCTGGGGACCGCAGTCTGGAGGTTCCTCGAAAGGACAAGCACAGAGTCACCACACAGTCCAGCAGTTCCCCTCCTAAGCATGTGCGCAACAGGACCGAGGATATTTGTGCACAAACACTTGTACACAAGTGTTCACAGCAGCAGTATTTGCAACAGCCAAAAAGTAGAAGCCACCGAAGTGTCTCTCAACTAATGAGTGGATAAACGAAATAAGGTCCATGCACACAATGGAAAATTCCTTGGCAATAAAAAGGAACGAGGTCCTGGCCGCAGCACAACATGAACAAACCCTGAAAACGGGATGCTGAGTGAAAGACGGCGATCACAAAAGACCCCGTTCGATTCCAGTGGCACAGAGTGTCCAGAAAAGGCAAACGCATGGAGACAGGGGTGGTCAGGGGCTGGGTCAGCCTCAACAAGAAGTGACCGCCCGGGGGGACAGGGTTTCTTTCTGGAGAACGAAAACGTTCTAAAACTAGATGGTGCTGACGGTTACACAATCCTGTGAATATACTGAAAACCACTGACTGATTCCCTTCTAAAGGATGAAGCTTGTGGTCTGTGGATGATATCTCCATCAAGTTGCTGTCAGAGAGAAAAGGCAGAGCTCTTCCCCTGCTGGCTCCCCCGCTGGCCAGCATCCGTGCTGACCCGACCGGCGACCAGGCGAATGAGGCTGCAGTGCCCAGGAGGGCTCGTGGAGGACGCAGAGGTGGCTCACTCCAGAGACAGGAATTTAGGTTTCCAGGGATGAGAGAGAAGACCGTGGTGGCAGATGACACCTAGTGGCAGGAGCCTGTTCCCTGCTCATAAAAGCCTCCAAGAGGTGACACTGTGGCTTTAGGAACTTGCAAAAGATTCTGTGCCCAAGCCTTTCAAGGCACCAGCAGGCTTGGACAGCAGGCACCTTGGTGACGACCACGATGCTCACTCCTGCGTTTTCTAGCTCAGCTGTCCCCAGGATCCTTGTGTGTCCACAAGGAAGGGGTGCTTCCAGGGGGCTCAGCTAACCAAAAACAGGATGAACTTGAAAAAAACCCCACACCCAGACACATCATAATCAAATTTCTAAAACTAAGACAGAAAATCTTTCAGAGCCACAGAAAAACAACAGATAATACATGAGGAAAAATTACTAGAATGACTGTTCATTTCTCAAACCAAAGAGGCCAGAAGACAATGGAACAAAATCTAAGCACTGAAAAGAACTAGCTCCCTGGAATTATACATCCAGAAAAAAAAAAGTTGCCTTCAGAATTGAGGGCAAAACTAAGATCAGACATCCTCAGATGAAGAGAATTTATTGCCAGCAGACCTGCTCCAAAAAAAGAAAGTTACTGAAAATTCTTCAAAAGGAAAGCAAATGGCATCACAGGAAAACTTGGAACCTCCGGGATCCAGGAAGAGAGAGGAAGGGTGAACACCTGAACAGATGTGACGGTGAACGGCAGATATCGGCAGACACGCTAACACTGTCTGATGTGCTCCAGGGCTGGCCGTCACTCAGAGAGGGTCTCCCTTGTGACGGGAACTAAACACGAGGGGGTGGGTCGGCTGAGACGGGGTGGGGGCTCCCGCATCCCACCTGAAGTGATGCGGTGTTCATGCAAAGCGCCTGTTAAAAGTTTTGCAGTCCTTAGAACAACTACTAAAAACAATAACTATATGAAGAAGTACAGTTGAAAACTCAAAGTTAAGTTAAAATGAGATCTTTAATATAGTCAAATAATCTAAAAAGAAGAAGGGAATGGGCAAACGAGGAGCAAAGAAAAAAAAGAAAGAATAAAGCAGTGGACCTAAATTAACATCCTGCTATTTCCATGAAACACAAGGTCTTTATCAGATCATTTCATCTCCTAGACCTTCCACTGTGGTTAGAGAAACCTAATCTCATTTTTTAAGAAAGTATTTTTCTTAAGAAAATCAAAAAAACTAATTTTCTTGAAAGAAACATTTCCTATTGTAACTCCTGTGTAACTTTAAGTGTAAAACACATTCTACGTTTGGAATAAATAAGCTTTGAACATGCAGGATCTTGTTTCCAGTCATTCCGTGGGTGCCAGTGGGCCCACATCCATTCCTGCAACTCGGTGGAAAATATAAAATCTTGGACCAACTAGTTGAATTTCCAGACAGAGGCAGAATGTCACTGTGCCACGTCATAACACACGATGTACCGGAAAGGACTGTCGCCTCCCTCCACCCGTCCGCAGAGACAGCCACGTGTACTCAGACAGTCATCTGGTCGGTTTGGTTTTTGCCCACTGTTACTGGCTTCCCCCAGCAGCCAAGGTCAGGCCTATCTGTGACGCTTCTCACCCTCTTCTTTTTGCCTGAGTCGGGAGCTAAATCTTCCCTCTCGCTGACTGGTGGCTCTTGCTCCACTAGAGAGGGTGGGCAGCACCTCTCGCCCGAAAACAAGCCAACTGGCTGGACGCACCAGGTCAGCCTGTGGCCAGTTATCCGTCTTATGATTTACGATTTACCACAGACCTACTCAAAGTGAAACAGAACTTGGCATGGCTTATAGAGACACACACAACACAGTAAGACAGAAATTAAAACAATCAGGAAGTGGGGTGAAGGGAAAATAAAGACAGAAAAATAAAATCAAGCAAGACGCGAGTAGAGTCCCCCCAAGCTCTGGTGCGGCGGCTGCCTGCGGCCCCCCAGCTCATCTCTGTCCCGCCGGAGGCCCTGCTCCGGACGTGCAGTGTCCTTGGGGTGAACAAACCACTGCGAGAGGGACACACCTTTTAAACGAGGGGACATCTCTCCCCACAGCCTGTGTAACGTACAGGGTTGTGGGAAATGCTCAGTAATATTCCTGTAATAAATAAAAGTGTCAGCATTTCACCAAAGAGCAAGTCAGGAAAAAAATCCTCACTTTTCAGTCGTCTGACTGTCTCACTGAACTGAAGGATGTGGTGCTTCTCAAATTCTTCCGCTGAAGTAGCTCCAACAACAGAGAGCACCCCTAAGACGCATGGGGTACAGCTGAGGAGGCCTGCCACCTCATGGAATGCCTTTGGCATCTCATCACTCACTCAAAAATCACCTGAGCTCAGGATCCACTTCAGATGAAATACTGTTTCCCACTGCTGACCATCAGAGGCGGCAGGCTGCCGGCACAGTCTCCTTCAATGAGTAAGAGGCTGTTGTGTCGGGTGTGTCTAATTTCTGGAGAACTGACTGAAAGAGCTGATACTGAGTTCCGCCAACCCCCTTCTTCCTTGTCAGAGCCAGAGCACTTCAGGAGCCCAGGTAGGTGCAGGTGCCGACCACTGTCTCCCTGCCCTGAGCACCACTGGGGTGCAGACTCGGGAGCGCCCCGGGAGCGGCCAGGAGACAGGAGCAGGGTCAGGCACTCCTGGGCAGAAGCCCTGACGGGGTATGTCCCTCCTGAGAGGTCAAGTCCCCTCTCGAAAGCCACACGAAAGCCTGTGACCCAGTCCGCATGCCCTTCACAGTCAAGAAAGCTCACTCATCGCTCTGCCACCAGTGTGGTCGTTTCCACTCCACGTAAAGGAGAGACTCCCAGGAAACGTGGTGACGTGCACGCTTGGTTTGAGAAAATAAGTCTCCCCAGTGAGCACCGAAAGGAGCGGAAGGAAGCAACATGAGTGGACAAACCCCGTCTACTCGGAACTTTCACAAGGCCCCAGCCGGCATTAATTTGAATGAAGACACCCGTTAGCTAAAGCAAAACAAAACCAAAACCCCAGGTGCGGTGATGGTAAAAGACATGTTCCAAGACAAGGGCAGTAAATGAGGCAGAGAAGGCGGTTCCACCTGGACAGAAGGACAGGTACGGGGAGGAGGCAGTCTGGACGTCTCCCTCTGACAGACAGTCCCGGGTCGGACCTGCCAGCCCCTCACCGCCATGCTTCGGAGGGATGGTGGTTCCCGGCACCGCCAGCCTCGGGGTGGGAAGACAGTGGTGGCGCCGCGGCCCTGGCAGCCACTCGCCCCCTTCCTTCCAGCCCCCTCAAGCTGGGGAGCCCCCGTTCTGCCAGAGCCAGCCAGAATCGGTGGCTGCTGGCGCTGCCGAGAGCTGACTGTCTAATTCCAGAGGCGAGGTCCTTCTGCATTTAACAACACAACTCTGAGATACACAAAACAGAAACTATACAGACCGTATGATAAATGGATAAAGCCACAAGAACTGCATGGACCTTTCCCAGAAACTGACAGATTAAAAGATTTGTTTTAAAACTAAAGCAAAAAAAATTTTTTTTGACCTTTGTGTCTTAGTTTTAATTTAACCTAATTACAATTAAATAAAAGTTAAAAATCAGTTCCTCAGTCTCACTGGCTACATTTCAGACTACTCAGTACCACGCGTGTCTAGTGGTTACTGGATCAGACACTGTGGAGTACAGAACATTTCCCTCACCACAGAAAGCTGAATTGGGCAGAGCTGGTACCACAATGTGATGTATAAACATCCACCCATCCACACATACATATTCAGCATAAAAAAGGAGGAAATCCTGTCATTTGCCACACAAGGAAGAACCTGGAGGACATTAAGTGAAATAATCCAGACATAGAAAAACACCACATGAGCTCACTGACATGTGGGATGTAAAACAGTCACACCTACCAAGGCAGAGAGGAGAATGGCGGTTGCCAGGGGCTTGGGGAGGGGAAATGGGGAGATTTCGGTCCAAGGGCAGAGACTTGCAGCTCTAAGGCGAGGAAGTTCTGGGGACCTGGGCACGGCATGGTGGCTGCAGCTGATAACCCTGTGCTACGAGAGTAGACCATAAGTGCTGCAACACACACACACAACTATGAGGTGATGGATGTGTGACTCCGCTTGACTGTGGCGATCAGTTCACAATGTCTACACGTCTCAATCGTCATATCATACACCTTGAATATGTATGATTTTTTGGTCACTTATACCCCAATAAAGCTGGAAGAAGTAAATACTTTCGTACCCGATTTTGTGATATCTTCCTTAAAGAGGGCCTCCCAAGTCGTATAAGCTGCAGGACCCACAGAGCCTGCCTCCTCCGCCTGGCCCCATTAACAAGCTGCAGGAAACAGGCCCATGCGTCCTTCCTCGCTGGACAAGAGCTTGGTGTGCTTGGCTCTGAGGCTCACAGGCCTGGCTGTGAATTCCAGCTCTGCCACACCAGCTGTGCCTGTGGGCGGGCCACATACTCTCCCAGGCCTTGACCCCCAGTCTGAAAACAGGGGTACGCCAGTGCCTGCCCCATGGGGCGCTATGATGCGGCGTCTCAAACAGCCGGCACGAGGAGCACGGTGTGGCGCAACGAGGATCAGCTCTGGCTAAGGTGTCGGTGTTTTGGGAGTGAAGGTTCTTCCAGGAAATGTAGGTAAAAAAAGACATTTTCAGACAAACAAAAGCTGATGGAGTTCGCCCTAAGAGCACGTCCTCTGAAGTATGTATTTCAGCATAAGGAAAATTATCCCGGATGAAAAGTCTGAGACGCAAGAAAAAATGAAGAGCAATGCAAGTGTAAACATGTGGGTACCTGCGTGAGCATCTACTTTACAGAACAATAAATGTCTGGTGGACTTAACAGACATTTAATGAAAACGCACCTCAGCAATAGCTAATAAACTGGGAGGGAAGTAAATGTAATTAAACCATTCTAAGGCCCTCCAAAAAAGGGTCAAGGTATTGATCATCTTCAGATCTTGGTAAGCTGGGTGTGCACGTTTTAATCTAGGATAACCACCCGCCAAAAGATCAGAAACACGGCTTATAATTTCTGAGTCAGTGGAGAAGAAGCAATGGAATGATAAAAAAAAAAAACTCAGTTGATCCAAAAGACAGCATTAGAGGAGAAAAGAAAGAACAAGTGATACAAGGACCGTCCACAAATGGGATGTCAGACTTAAACCAAAATATTTCAGTAATTGCATTAAATGTAAATGTACTAAACACTCTAGTTAAAAGACAAAGATGATCAGAATGGTCTTTAAAGTTGTACTTCTTCACTTCTTACTAGTTTTGATATTAGTCAAAAGAATTCTAATGGAACTTATTCTAGAGTAAGACAGTCACAAATGACACATTTATAAATGATAAAATTTGTATTTATTTTAATAATAGATTCAAAATGTTTACCCTAGAAACTGACAGAACTAAAAGAAGAAACAGACAAATCCATAATCTCAGTGGGATATTTTAACACAGCTCTCTATTTTAACACTGACAGACCAAGTCCACAGAAACCAGTAAATACATAGAAGATTTGAATAACGTGACCTAATGAACATATATTAACAACTACAAACCCACATCCTTTACAAGCACACGTAGACCTTTCTCAAGTATTGACCTTCATATGCCAGCACTGGGCAGTTGTACACACATTATTTCCTTCAATCATCATGAAATTGTGAAGTGGACATCTGGGCTGGAAACCTGTTTGGCCCCTCAGCCCTCCTGTCCCCTTCCCTGTCTTGCTCTGTGTCCTGCAAGCTGACCTGTGCTGACTGCACTCCCCAAGTTCCAGCTCCCATTCCTTCTTCTGTCACCTCCCAGGTGGCAATGGCCCTGGCTGTTCTCAGTCCTGGGGTTCTGTACCATCCCTTTGGGTCTTCCTAAACCCTGCCCATGCCTTTCCAACAGTCCTTTTGCCAAAATCTCTTAAATTGCCCAGTTAGTGTGTGCCATGTTTCCTGTAGGACCCTGGCTGTCAATCAGCATCCTGTCTACATTTAAGGCAAGATAAGCTCAGGGAGGTCAGTGACTCACACAAGATCACGTGAGCTCCTCTCACGGGCGTAGAAATAAGGAGAGTTTCCTCCCTTGCTGGCACCTTTAACAAACTGTTAGCATGACCCTGGAAGACCTCTTTGACTTTAGACAACAGGGCCCTGTATGTCTGATTAACTCTTAAATGTGAGTTGTAATTTGGCCTTTTTTTTTTTAAGCTCAGTTTTTCTAAAAAAAATTTTTTTTGGCAGGGGAGGAAGGTAATTAGTTTTATTTCTTTTTATTATTATTATTTTTTTAATGGAGGTACTGGGGACTGAACCCAGGACCTTGTGCATACTAAGCATGTGCTCTACTACTGAGCTCTACCCTCCCTGCTGTAATGTGGCTGTCCTTAGAAATTCCTCAAATAGCAGGAACACTGTGACTTCCACATAAAGTTTCTATTTGGCTGTTTGTTAATTGATTTCTGGTGCACAATGCCTTTTAGAGGAAGCTGTTTAATAGTGATGACCGCCTCGGAATTCAATACTGCTGTGCTATCTGATACCTTGACTTGCTACTTTGCTGTTTTTCAGATCGCCATGAGGTTATCTCCAAAGAGATACTGGAGCTGGACCCCTGGGAGAACCAGTGGAATGTTGTAGCGGTCGACGTCCTCATGCACGACAGCTATGACGTCTGCCTGGTGGCCAGGATGAACCCCCGCGACCTCATTCCCCCGCCTTCAGATTTGGTGGAAGAAGGTGGGGGGCACTGAGGTTGGCATCGCTGCGGGACCTCCTGTGGTGTCTGCAGAGGCACCAGGAAGGGGGAGACCATGGCACCTGTCTGTCACCCGTAATGTGCATTGCATGCGTAGTGGCCCCGTGCAGGGCAGCATGTGCTGGGCGCTGCAGAGGGAGTGTGCAGAGTCCCCTCAGGGACCTAGGGTTTGCAGTATCTTCCCCAGGGCTGGAAGGTGGGGATGGAGCTGCCTGCTTCAGTCCACTTCCAGAATATAATTTAGGGATGACATTTAAACAACACATGGGGAAATTTCTTACTGTCTATACCTCTGGAAGCAGGTGGATCCAAAGAAAGCATTTTGGTAGCTGTTCTTCACCAACTTCTCAAGAGTTTCACGGCACAAGGCTGTTTTCTAAGCAGGAATGGTCAATAAACTCCCCAAACTCTCCCCAGGGAGACGACCCCAGACAAAGGAGTCCTCTCTGGAGTAGAACCATGTGACTGTGGTGACCTTTAGCCTGTGTCCCCAGGTTCCAGCTGCTCATCCGTGCAGGAGAGGCAGGTCCATGGACCCTGGAGCCAGATGGAAACCTGTGTCTGCCAACATGGAGGGGTCGGTGAGACCCCGGGTGGGTGGTCTTGAGAAAGCTAGACTCCAGGAGGGCCGGGCCACGCCTGCCTGTCTGCAGCTGCACCCTAAGGGCCGTGGGCAGGTCTTCTGGTGGCCGGTGGGGCAGCATTGCTCACTCTCTGTCTCCGAGGATGCCCAGGAGTCTGCGTGAAGCTGAGCTAACTCTCCTCCCTGGTGGAGGGTTACACTCTGTGATTCATTTTCTTGGTGACGAAGCCCCCACAGGTCTCTGCCTCCTCCACATCCTCTTAAGGGAACCATTGCACCCGCTCCTCCCACGTGACCCCAGAGGGAGCCGCCCAGCCCAGGTCAGGGCGGCCTCGCTGGCGGGGCGTGCGAATTTCTGATGCACTGGGTTTGGGATCCAGGCTCTCATCCCAGCTCTGCTGCTTAGCACAGGATAAACGTTCTAAAGCCTCTTCCTCCTCCTGTGCAGAATGGGAAGAAAAGCATCTGCAGGGCTGACTGAGTGAGAAAACGCTGAGCCCAGGGCCTGCGAGACGCTAAAACAAGAAATGCTCTTTAGCGGCAGCTACTTTCATTTTCATTATTCTCGTGGTCAGCGTTTCCCACAGCACAGCACCCAGAACACCCAGTCCTGGGTGGGGGGATCTTGGGGTTTTGGAGGAGGGGGATGTGCACAGGCTCTGAGACGGCTCTTGAGCCCCAGCCCCTCGGCTCCGCCAGGTCCAGGTCGGGTGCTGACGAACCTGAGTGTCTTGTAAGCCCTCTGAGTGCTGCTTCTCTGACGGTGTCTGATTCTGCCCCCCTCCTCTTGGATTCGGTTGGAGACTCAGCTTTAGACGTCTTGCCGTCACTCCCCTTTCCCCTTTAACTGACGGCTGTCCCCACACGGCATGGAGGACTCTTACACAACTGGGACTATTTGCCAGTTCTCATCTTTGGGAGACAGGACGGTCTGGCGCTGAGGAGGGGCGCACGGGGGGCTGTGAGCTGGACGCTGAGGCTGACAGAAGCTGCAGCTGCCAGCCACGCCCGGTTCAGTTTGTGCTCACCAGGGAGGTGCCACTTTCTCACTGATAAACTTCACAACAAGCAAACGGTTTAAGAGGAATCATAAGTCCATTAATAAAAGATTGCCTGCGTTTTGTTTTTCACTCTGCAGTCCGACGTAACTCTCATTTGAGGGGGGTGGTGTTGGCACTTCCTGGGCAGGAACCAGAGGGGTGACCAGGCACAAGGTGCTTGGGAGCAAGGCCGACGTGTAAGGTGGGCAGGGGGCATGAGGGGGTCCCGTTTCCAGGTTGGCTGAAGCACCGGAGGAAGCCAAGAAAAGGAGAGGAGGCCAATCACAGAAGTCCTCAAAGGCCACCCCAAGGAGTCGGGCCTTTATGCCTATGCAGGGGGCAAGGAAATCCCTGTCACCTCGTGTGGACCAGTGGGTGAGAGGGGACACGGCAGATGGGGAGGTGGCTTCACAGGAGCCCGCGTCTCGGCTGAACCAGCCTGTAGTGGTGGGGGGAGCCGTGTGGGCCAGAACAGCCAGGAACGGGGACATCAGCAGTATGCCCAAGGGTCAGGGCAGGGGATGCTGGGAGCTTGACCACAAGACATGGCGGGTCACCCAAAACCAAAGACCAGAAAACCTTTCAGGGGGTGGAACAAACCTAGTAGGAACTCCTTGGGACCGTGCGTTAGACAAAGAGTTCTTAGGCGTGACACCAAAAGCACAATCCATAAAACAAAAACCTGACAAGTTGGACTTTATCGAAATGAAGAACTTATGTTCTTCAAAAGATACTGTTTAGAGAGTGAAAAGATAAGTGAATGACAAGGAGAAAATAATTACATTATTATATATCTGATATAGGATCTCTAACCAGGATACGTAAAGAACTCTCAAAACTCAGTAATATAAAAACCTAAACAACCCATTGTTTTTAACGGGCAAAAGGTCTGAAAAGATATTCACCAAAGAAAAAGCATGTGGACAGCAAACAAGCACATGAAAAGAGGCTCAGTATCATTAATCATTAGGAACATAGAATTTAAAGCCACAATAACATACCACACGAGAATGACTAGAATTTTTTTAAAAACCTGACCAACTGCTGATAAGGACGCAGAGCAACTGGGATTCTCATACAGCATCAGTGGAAAAGCAAAAGGGCTTTTGCGGCTGCGGCAAAGTCTTGCAGTGGAGCCATGACCCAGAAATCCCACTCACACACATTCACCCGAGAGAAGTGAAGACTTTGTTTCACACAAAAACCTGCACACAAATGTTTAAAGTGGTTTTTCTCATAATTATCTCAAACCGGAAGCACCCAACTGTCATTCACCTGGAGGATGAGTCAGCAGACGGTGACACATGGTGCAACAGAGCATGACTCTGCCGAAGGAGGCAGGAGCCGCAGAGACTCACAACGACATGGGTGAGTCCCAGAGGCACTGCCCTGAGTGTCACTACATGGCTGCACGTATGTGACGTTCTAAAGGAGGTAACACTGCAGGGAACAGACCACGTGTCCACGGCCAACAGGGGCTGAGAGTGGGGCAGGGGCCGACCACAGGGGAACATGGGGAGCCGGGGTGATGGGACGCCTGCATCTCGATTGTGGTGGCGGCTGTGTGCATCCATTTGTCAAAATCTACAGAAGCATACAGGAAGAAAGGTAAATTTTAATGTATGTGCATCATGCTTTCACATTTTAAAAGAGGGTAAAAGAGTTAGCACAGAGAGTGGAAGTGTGAACTGACCAAGGAAACACAGGTAGACATTCTGGGCAGTGCTGGGGGCCACCTGAGGTTGGGTGGACTCATGGGGCATCCCGTCTGCCCAGTAACGTTCAGCTGCACAGGCCAGCAAGGAGAAAGCAGACGGCCGGACTCATCCATGGTTGAGATCTTGCCAGACACGCGCTTTGCAAGACAGGTGCAAGGGCATTAGTTCTATCTGTGCATGTAGTGAAGTGATCACCACAATGCATCCAGTTAACGTGCCACCATACAAAATCTCACAATCTGTGTGTGTGGCTCTCTTAGATCACAGGCCATCAGTTCTTATGTACTGAAATGTTGGACCACAGAGGGAAGGGGAGAGGGCAGAGGGCACTGATGGGAAAGTGAAGGCCTGGAGCCTCCCAGGGATGTGGGATCAGCCAGCTCAGAAGTAGTCGACGGGCTCCCGTGGGCTTTCAGGACCTCTAAGGACCCTTCCAATTCTAAATTCTGGGGTGCTGTGGGATAATTATAACCAGACAGTTGTGCCCATGGATTTTCAAGGTACAACACACCAAGGAAGCCGATGGTGTAAAGGAATCGGTCCCAACCTGGGGGAGGGGGGTGCTGCGATGTGTGGGATTCATCTGAGCAGAGGGGAGGCTGCAGGGTGGGGAGGAGGACAAAGAGGGGAAGGAGGAGGAGGACGCATCCCAGAGAGAGAGGAGTGTGAGAGGCAGGCATAAGCAGGGAAGTATCTGGTGTGATGGGGAGACGGCAGGGCAGGCTGGGGAGACAGGTGAAGCCTCTGCAGAGAGCTGCTGTCTGAGCCCCAGCATGGCTGTGTGGACAGTGCTGTCCCGAAGAACCCCCGTGAGCTCCCAATACCTGTCGGCCTCTTCTTACATCATGATGTACACCATGGATTTGTGGATCTTAGCCGAATACAGAGCCATCTGAAACAATGATTACTCACCCAGACTCAGCAAGTCTGCTCCGAGGTGCAGACCCAGGAGAAATGAAAAGACCCGCACACAATGTTCAAAGCAGCTCTGTTAAAAAGAGCTCCAGGCTGCATGTACCTGGAGGAAACCCTGATCCAAAAAGAGACCTGCACCCCAGTGTTCACAGCAGCACTGTTTACAACAGCCCAGACATGGAAACAGCCTAAACGTCCATCCACAGATAACCAGATGAAGAAGTCGTGGTTTATTTATACAATGGAATGCTGCTCAGCCATAAAAAAAGAATAAAATAATGCCATTTGCAGCAACATGGATGGATCTGGAGATCATCGTTCTAAGTGAAGTTAAGTCAGAAAGAGAAAGAAAAATACCATATAGTATCACTTACATGCGGAATCTAAAAGAAGGCACACGTGAGCTTATTTACAAAACAGAAACAAACTCACAGACAGAAAATAAACTCACGGTTGCCGGCAGGGGTGGGAAGGGGTAAACTGGGAGTTCGGGATTTGCAGATACTATTATATATAAAATAGATAAACAACAAGTTCATACTGTAGAGCACAGGGAGCTATATTCAGTATCTTGCAGTCACTTATAATAAGAATATGAAAAGAATATATGTATGTGTATGTATGACTGAAACATGCTGTGCACCAGAAATCGACACAACACTGTAAACTGACTGTACTTCAGTAAAAAAAAAATAGCCCCAAACTGGAAACAACCCAGACGTTCATCAGCGAGAGCAGGGACACATAAACACCACAGAGCATTTAAAAAAAAAAAACAACAACAAAGAGCAAGGTACCGCACATGCTACAGCAGAGACGAATCTCATAGATGTGAGGTCTGGGGGAGAAGCCGGACGCAAAAGACCCCAGGCTGAACGTTTTAATGTACTCAAAGTTCCAAAAGTTACCGACAGCAACGGAGCTGGGTAGTTCTTACCTGGGGGAGGTCTGGCGACTGGGAGCCGCACACGGGAGCCTGCGGAGGAGGCACCAAGGGTCTCTCTTGGTCCTGGACGTGGTGACCCAGGTACAGACACATGCACACATTCTTTAAGCTGAGTATTTGAACGCTCTGCATTTTTCTGGGTGTGAGCTACACATGCCCCAGCCTCCCCTGCAGCTGTGTGTGACAAAAGACTAAATTCTGGCCTATGAGATATATGTGGAAACTGTGTGAACAATTTCTAGAGAGGATCTTGGAAGGGAGGAAGTGTAACTGTTCCCTTCCTCCTTCCTGCTGGTGCTTGAGCAGCCTTTTTGGACTACGAGGTGTACATGGCAGAACAACAACACAGAAGGAGCCTAGGCCTCTGAAACCACTGAGCATGGTAGCAAACCTGGAATGGCTACTTCCAGACTTCTTGAAAGTGAGAGAAATGAAACTTTATCACGTCTGAGCTGCTCTTATTTGGGGTTTTCTGTAATAAGCAGCCAAACCTAATCAACTGAATACGGACACCGCCGAGGACAACTGGGCAACAGACAGGAGAGCTCTGGCTGTGGAGGGTGAGCTGGACAGGGCCGCCTGGGAGACAGGAAGGGGAGTCGCTGGGTGGTGCATCTGTCAGGGCAGTGATGGCAGGAGACGGGCCCAGAAGACGTTGAGGAGGTCAGTACCGCATGTGGACGTGCTGACCACAGCCGAGGCATCAGGGGAGTGATGATTCTGTTAAACACACTAGGAAACAAGACAAGGAGAAGATTTGTGAAGCGAGATAATGACCTTGATTTTCCTTTCTTGTTCATGTCCTAATTTTCTGAGTCCTTTTAGACCCACACAAATGTCCACTGGGCTCGTGTTAACAAAAAAACAGCTTTTCACAGCACCCAAGAGTTGTGATCCATGAGGACAAAGGGGAGCCATCAGTTACGAACGCTTCAGCAAGCACCCTACATGCTAAGTACTTCACACACTCTCGCTCCCTGAGTTCTCTGGGCCCTGCCACCAGGGAGAGTCTCCTCCATTATTCCTCCTTCATAGTTCAGGAGACCACGACTCAGGTGAAGCTCCTGCCAGCAATGCCAGAGTTCATCAGAGACCTGGATTTGAAGCCAGGCCTCTGACTCCAAAACCTGAACTCAGAATCCCGACAACAGAGCTCTTCATTAGATTTTCCTGTCATTTTGCCCCAACCCTCACCCTGAAGGGGACAGCCAGGAGGCAGTGAGGAGCAGTGGCCTCAGATCTACAGGCCTGGGCCCCAGTCCCTCTGCTAAGGACAGAGCTAATTTTTGTCATGACGCTGTCAGTTGGGTCCCCCAGGGTTCCAGGAAGCAGGTGCTGAAACGGAGTTAGGAGTGTCCAAAAGGTTTATGGGGGAGTAGCTTCTGGGAAAGGAGATGGGGTTGGGCAGGGAGGTCCCTGGCAGGGCAGAAAAGAGAGGTCCCTGGACCACGGTCTTCTGTGACTGGCAGGGGCCCTCCAGGGGCCAGACCATGATGCTGGCCCAGGAAC